GGGCTGGGTGGAATGAGAAGGAAGGGTCATGTGTGGGAATCCAAACCAAGTTCTAAGGAAGAAACAACCAATGAACAAGGGGCCATCCAAAAGGAGGCAGCCAATCAAAGGTGCTCAACTTACTCCCAATCCTGACGTAAGGCCTCTACTCCTTTTGTCTAGATGCCCATTATTTTTCTTTAATGATATCCTCCTAAACCTTTATGTCTTCTACTCTCCCTTTTGGTAAATTCTATTACCAACCTGGGCTCTAAAATTACTGTTGTTACCAGTACTACTACAATGTGTCATGATGAAACATAATCAGGATGTTTCCTGCACATCAATTAATTTCTACATGTCAATTTCCTCTTCAGCGAAATGAGAACCTCACTCCCAATAGGCCTCTGAGTCTACAGGGAGGCAAGAACTTTAATAAACCTGTGCAGATCTCATAGGCAACCAATCTCACTCACTTGGTGCTATTTCCAACCTATGACATCAAAAGGCTTCTCTAAAATGAGGCATATGTCTGAGTCAGGTATTTTTACTTCCCATGTAGGAATTAGATATTTATATTTAGTAAAAGTGATCAAAGTGCCATTTTCTTCCTTCCAAGTAGAAAACAACCACCAAGCAGCACTCAGGTATGATAAAGTTTTAACTGAGATACAAAACAAAAGCCAAAAGGTATAATTGCTAACACTTTATGGGAGTTGAACTTATAAGGGATTTTTATATTATGATTTATAATCTTCAAGACACACTGGCATCTAAGAATAATGCCTCTAATGGAGTTTTCCAGCAGGACTGAAGAGTTGCCACTATTTGACTCAGAATTTCACATCTGAAATCTTCCTCTTCCTCATTAACTAATATCCAATTTCATAGCCAATGATATATATGATATATATATACTATATATATCATATATATGATATATATATATATATATGTCATGTGGGTATAAACACATACACACACAACTCTGAAGTCATGAAGTCATATGGTCTGAGTAATTTACTGCATGAGACTAAACTCAGAAGTAATTGACTGGAGCTATAGACTTGCAGCCAGGATTTCATACTTGAGACACCTTCTAACTCAGTGAAGCCCCAACTTATCTTCTGGATTTGCAGTTACCACCTTACATGCAAATATCCTCTATGTATCATCAGGACATGGATGGAAAGAATTGTTTCATTCATCTCCTTATTCATATTCTTATATGACAATCTTATTCATGGTCTTTATCCTCTTTATCTCATAGACATGTAAATCTCATGTATTTATTGTTCATAAATACAATATACTCTAAATGCATCATTGGAATGTGTTTAAAGATGTTTACGGCTAGTCTGCTCAATAGGATAGAGGGAATTGCAGACTGTCTCCATGGAGCTTATAAACTATTCAGAAAGATAGATTGTGAGCAACTAGTGACTGGACCTCAGAGGAAATCTGTTTGCTCTGATGCTAGAACATAGGATCTGACCTACTTCAAGGGAGCAGCGACTTTCAATCTGTAGCCTGAGATTGAAGAGGAGAGAAGCTGATGAAGAAGAAAAAAACAACCCAGAAATAGAGAGACAGAGAGAGAGAGAGAGAAAGAGAGAGAAAGAGATCATCATGTGTACTAAAATGTGAAAACAATGCCCCCAGGTACATACTAATCCCTGAATCTTACTGAATTCCCTGGCTCACATCATATCTAATATTGATGGGCGTTTTGGGGAGACCAGCCATTCTAACTGATTAGAAGGTTGTCATCAAGTTGGTATATGATGCACTCTTGGATCTTAAGAATATATCTTCAGCTTGGCTGAATAAATTATGATTTTTTTCCTAAAACTCAACTTGCTAGTTTGTAGTTGGAATTCAATATCGTGAGTGTTTGTTCACCTGGTGAGGAAACTGGGCTGCTGGGGAGCCATGTGGAAAGATTTACTCAGTCACTGCTTTTTTTACAACTGCAAATTTTATCATTATGATTGTACTTCCATTTTTAAATCAAATCTCAATCCAGGGGGATTTCTACACTGTTATATATGGCATTATAAGGTTATGTGTGTATCCCACATTATAGAAAATAAAATAAATGATATTGCTTTATGGAAAGCACTTTACACAGACAATTAAAATAAAATGTCTTCATAGGCAACTTGGCTCCACACATATGTACATATATAAGCTTTGCCAGAAAGACAATGTCTTCATTATTTGTAGACAGATACTAAATACTGACTGAGTAAATCGCAATGCCATATTATTCTGTATCAGTATTATTCTGTACTGCCTGGTGTAACTATATAATTCATAAGCTGAAACCCTAATGCCTAGATTTCAGAGTGATACTCTGCCATGAGCTAGGCCTTTTAAAGAAGTCATGACGATGAATCAAGGTCATAAGGGTAGGGCCTTCATCCAACATGACCAGTGTCTTTCTAAATAGAGGAAGTGACACCAGCAGTGTGAGAGGAAAGGCTGTGTGAGGACAAGAGGAAGATAGCAAACTGCAAGCTGAGGAGCAAGGCCTGGAGCCTGAAGCCCTCAGTTCCAAGAGAAAACTGATTTGGGTTATGAAGTCATCCAATCTGTTGTGACACCTATTTGGACTGAATTGTGCCCTACCACAAAACAAAGAAGCTGTGTGTTGAATCTCTAGCCTCTGATATGATTATATTTGAAATAGGATTTCTGGAGATAATTGAGGCTAAATAAAATCACAAGGGCTGATTCTAATGCAATAGGACTGCTGTCCTTAGAAGAAAAAGAAAAGAGAGCAGGCATGTGTGGGAAGAGGAGGGGCCATCCGAGGACAGTCCAGCCTAGGAAAGAGGCCTCCAGCAGCAAATGAATTTTCTACTGCCTTGACCTTAGACTTCCAGCCTCTGGTAAGATGAGAAAATTAATTTTTTGTTGCTTAACCTACCCAGTGTGTAGTATTTCTTATGGCAGCCCCAGACAACTAATACAGATCTATATCTTGCACTCATAAATATACATGAGGAAATAAATGCATGCACAGACTGGCCCAGTACAGTTCAAATTATCTGCAGTCTTATTTGAAAACAGTAAGAAGATTTTAGCTAATGCCTTTACAAATAAGAATTTTTGTTAGGTTGCAAGTGAGGATGCATAATTTATATTTATGTAGTCAGACAGCATCTGGATGCAAATTAGGGGGAAAGAATGTTAAAAATATGTTGTAGATATATTCATAATTGGCCATTTCATTTTTCAGAGAGGATGAAGATCTTCATCCTCTGCTTACAACTGCCAAAGAACAATATTAAATTTGGACTCCCCTGTTTCAAATTCAACTTGTCTTAAGTAGCTGTTATATCCTGTCACTTATCAAATTACCTTGAGAAGCTTTTTGTGAGTTTAATTAAGCCTGACTAATTTTCCGACAGTACAAAGCAAGATGAATTTCTTAAATATTTAATCCATTTCTGACTTAAGGTGTCATTTTCTGAATGTGGATGTGCAGTTCTTGGAATCAATCACCCTTTGAATTAAAGCTGTTTTTTCAAATGTTCTAGAAGTCTGGTCAGATCTGACATAAAACATGAATTCCGCATCTGTGCACCCAGAGAATTCATTCCACATCCAATGTATTCAGTCTCAGCCTGCCTGCAGACGGAAGACATCCTTCATGGTAAGGTGTTAACAACCCAGTCTGCCTTGATATCATCCTCCTTCATCCAGGTATAAATGAGTTCAAAGTTAGCTGGCCTCTATCTGCAAAATCAGTATTCTTTTTCATTGCCACTTAGTTTTCCTAAGCTCACCCCAAAGCTTCTGGAAACTTCACCCAGGACAATGGGCAGGCAGTGGGTTCACCGGCCCCTCCTCTCTCCTACAGGACTATGAAACCTTGAGTATCTAGGACTTGTCTTTAATTAGACAGTGCCTACTTTTCTCCTATGCTATGTTGATGTCTACCCAAGAGTAGTAGAAGCAATGCTTCTCAATGTAAGATTTCAAGAGCACAAATGCATCAATCAGGAAACCCCATAGGAGGAACACCTGACATTCCCAAGACTTGGTCTCTAGGTTCCCATACAAGAAAACTACAGGACTGTAAAGAGGAGGAGGCAGGAAGCCATGACCACCATCAAGACTAGCACAGTGGTCCCAGATGCTGAGGGCTTCTGGATGCATTGGTGACCAGGAATCATTCCTCTGCCCCCAGCACCACTAGGCATATACACTATGGGAGGTCCCGCTCCACAAAGCAACTAAAAGACAGTGATGCCTCCTGATTCAAATTCAAATTTCCTCAGCTATGTGAAGACATTCCAGAGTTGTAAATTGGCTATTTAGCTCATCACGTACAAGTTTCAATTGAATGGAAGTTTATCTCTAGATATCATTTTCAAACACTAGAAATATAAATGCTCCCTGAAAATGATCAAGTCTTCCTTTCTTTCCACTACCTCCCACACACCTATGATTTAAAATATGTTTACATTGAGAATATAAAATACAACATGGCACGTTCAAGTTTCCAGTTTCAGTTGCCTCCAATTTTAAAAAAGTAAAAGAAAATGCATCATTGGATACTGGTGACTTACACCTGTAAATCTTGCTACTCAGGAGGCTATAATCTGAGGATCATAATTCAAAGCCAGGCAGGGAAAGAACGTCGATGAAATTCTTATCTCCAAAGAACCAGCAACAAGCTGGAAGTAGAAGTGTGGCACAAATGGCTGAGACTCACCCTTGAGTGAAAAAGCCAAGCAAAAGCACCAGGCCCTGAGTTCAAGCCCCAATATCAGTACAATTAATCCATCCATAAAACAGATCACAGCATGAAAATGCAGCTCATGTCCAATGAAAATAAGAATAGGATAGTCACATGACTTCAGCGACAGCAAATGTTCAGGGTTGGTTATACAAAATGGAAAGAGCCAGCCCTGGACAGGAGCTGGGAGCAGTGTGATCATTATGATTTGTGGTCCAATCCATCCCCTGCCCTCCTGCCCCCACCCCTGGCCCCAGGTAAGTGTGCCTACCTCCTTTCATCATCCCCACTTCGTAGCACTTGCGGAGTCGACAGGCCTGGCAGCTCTTCCTCCTGTTTTTGTCAATGGTGCATTGATTGGTCGCAGGACACATGTAGTCATTATGCCCTAGTAAACACAAGAGAACAGGATCATTTGTTTTTTTGTTTTCTTTTTAGGAAACTCAGCTGATCAGAATCTTCAGGGAAAATGCTGAAGCCTGTGTACATGCCACCACCTTCCCGGACCCAGTGAAGTTGTAACTTCCATCTGTCTGCCTTTCTCTGTAAGCTCAGAGTAAACAAAATCTCTCTGCTATACTTCATTTCCACCTCAACCCCTCACTTTGAGTTTGTTGGGGAAATCATCTCCCATTCACATGGCCTAGGTTATACGACACAATGTGGCTTGAGTTCGTTTATTTATTTATTTATTTACGGGAGGTTTATTTCCCTCCAGGGCTGGGGATGGTACCCAGGGCCTCATACACAGGAGGCAAGCACTCTACCAATAAGCCACACACACCCCCACTTCCCTGCCTCCCACCAGCTGCCCTCAACACAATGTTTGTACTTGCTCAGGAGTTCAAGGTTTCTCCGTAGATAAGCTTTGGGGGTTTGGTTTTGGTTTTGGTTTGGTTTTTGTACCAAGGCCATTCACTGAAATTGTCAGCACTCTTAGAAATCAAACCTTCAGTCAGAGAGTTGCCAAGTGGCCCTTCTTAAATTATAAATTAAAAAATCTTACCTAGATATTTAAGCTGGGAGCTGGAAGCTCAGACCTGTAATTCTAGCTAGTCAGGAGGGATTTAGGATCACAGTTGGAAACCAGACTGGCAAGAAAGTCTCTGAGAGCTGGGTGCCAGTGGCTCATGCCTGTAATCCTAACTACTCAGGAAGCTGAGAGCTGAGTATCACGGTTCAAAGCCATCCTAGGCAGGAAAGTACATAAGACTCTTATCTCCAATAAACCATCAGAAAACTGGAAGTGGAGTTGTGGCTCAAGCATTCACCTTGAGCTGAAGAGTACAGGGACAGCACCCAAGCCCAGAGTTCAAGCCCCACAACCAACAACAACAACAACAAAAAATGTCTCTGAGATTCTTATCACCAATGAACTATCAAAAAGCCAGACATGGAGTTGTAGCTCACGTGAACCAGTCTGAACAAAAAGCAATTGGTACTCAGGACCTGAGTTCAAGCCCACTACACACACACACACACACACACACACACACACACACATCCACTGTCTAAGTTCAAGTGGATTGGGTGGCAGCATGGTTAGGAATGATGATTCCACCACAATCCAGATGAACATCTGTCGGGCTGCCTTTCCTCCTCTTCATGATGTCTTGATATAGAATTGACCCAGGACATCAACAGACCACACACATGTCAAGAGTTTACTCAGCATTGTTGATGATGTAAGCTCTCAGAGACCCTGGTTGCTGTCACCTAATTTTGAGTCCACTTTCCCTGCTGTCTTTGCAGTCTCTTTCCAGTCTCCTCTTTGGCCTTTCGAGCTTGTGTCCTCCCTCTCCCCTGTACCTCACACTGCACTCTCCTGCCTGGTGGGACCACAGGAAGGGCATCAATTCCTTCCTCGGCCTCAGGGCTCACCCCATGCTCATTTTTTCCCACTTTGATTGTGCCACAGAATCAGAATCACAGAATCAGCTTCTGTGAGCTTAATGATGATGTACGTGTCAACTTCATCCGGGATTTCCAGCCCAAGTCATACCGCAGTGCTCTCATGTTACCCTAGGTATACGTGCGTTGTTGTCCTCAGGAAGTATCCACTCTAAGTCATCTCATTTTTGTTGTTATTTTTTTTGGCAGTTGTGGGGTCTGAACTCTGGGCCTGGGCGCTGTCCCTCAGCTCTTCAGCTCAAGGCTAGCGCTCTACCACTTGAGCCACAGCACCACTTCTGGCTTTTTCTGCTTATGGAGTGCTGAGGAATCGAACCCAGGGCCTCGTGAATGTGAGGCAAGCACTCTACCACTGAGCCACCTTCCCAGCCCTTTTGTTGTTGTTTTTTTACTTGTTGGACAACCCTACTGAGCCATATTCCAAGTCATTTTTGTCTTCATCTGTTTTACAGATCATTTTATGCTTTAGCCAGGGATAGCCTTGGACTGTGATCCTCCTATCACCACCTCCCAAAGAGCTAGGACCATAGTGGTGGACCACCGTAGCCAGTCCCTCACCTCCACTTTCTTAACCATCAAAAAATGTCAGGGTTAAAGATATGACTCAAGGGCTGGAGGTGTGACTCGAGTGGTACAGCACCTGCTCAGCAACCCTGAGCCCTGATTTAAAGTCCATCCCCCTCCTATAAAAAGGCTGCTCTGTAGAATATTAAACTTCATGAATTAGTAAGTACTGGCATGCTTTTAAAAAGAAGCCTATTTTTGTAAACCTCAACTGATACATGTCTTAGGACAAAAATCTCGACTGAACTGAGACTAAAAAATAAATAAAATGGCACGTATTATTTCAAACATTTCTCATTCGCTCCACCTAAATTAAATAAACAAATGATCATTATTCCACACTGATTTCTTGCTCAGGTCTTTATCTGACCATTGACTCGGGACAAGATGTGGCATGTAATGAAATGTTTTTTTTAATACAGAGGCTTTTGTTCTGAATTCCTTGCAAGGATCAGACCTAGTTAGAACAGGGTGGAGTGGGGACCTGACAAGAAATGCTGGCCTTACACAATTTGCTTCTCCATCTACAAAACAGCTTCAAATCAAATTCACATCTGTGAATATCACTGCGTTAGAGAGACCAACAAGCCAGGCAGCAGAGTTCTAAACTCAGATCTCTGGCAAGGACACACACCGCCTCACCTATCTAAGCACAGATATTATTTTTAGAATTATCCTCATCAATAGGACAAACTGAGGGAACTATAGAGCCAAAAACTAGATTTAAGTGAGCAGATGTGAATTCTGATACCTTAAGGAAATTTTTAGTGTTTGGTCTTCTACAGAACTTATAAGGAAAAGCATGTATGCGCTCACAGAAAGACAGCATCCCTCAAATCTCAGAAGAAAATGTTTAGGAACTGCTCAAACTAAGTATGACTATTTTGAGCCATATTCTCTTCCCAAAGCCAGGTGTTTTGCAAATCAGAAAGAAGCTGGGAGGATGAATTGGGTCAGAGGCTAACTGGCTGAATCTTCTATTTGGATTGGCCATCCACTAGTAGATACATATCTTCATAGAACCACATGAAATTCTTGAACTAACATGTTTAATAAGTAAAATGTGTTGGGTGTGTGAAATTCAATTCATCCTTTAACAGGAACAAAAACAGATGAACAACAGATTCATGTTCATAATGCAAAAGTCGTGTGACAAAGCTGGATTTTCCCCTATCCAAAAAATTAAAGTATTGACTTGATAAACTGACAAGAAAAAAATTAGTAAGTACATATTTGATATGACAATAAAGTTCCTCTTAATGATATGCCATTAATCACTCATCTTTTGACTTATATTTAAAAAACAGTAAAGTAGAGTTTTTTAGTTTAGTGAGTATAACTTGGCAGTGCATGTCATCAAAACAATTGATCTAGGGTGCTTTAAGAAACTCTTTTTTAAATTTTATTACTTGATCTTGTGAAAATGATGCATTGAAATCTTACAAATAAAACTCAGCTCATACAAGTTTTTGTAATAGAGAAAGCTGTAGTGCATTATGAAGGGCATAGAAGATTACATATACCTGTGACAAGACTGGCCCAAAAGTTTCCGCTTCACATTCTTGGCTGAAAAGTAGAAGACCAAAACTAAGGTGTGGCTGAGCACTGGTGGCTCACATCTGCAATCCCAGCTACTCAAAAGCTGAGAACTGAAAAGTGTGGTTCAAAGCCACCAGAGAGAGAAGAGTCAGTAAGACTCTTAGCCTTAATTAACCAGCAGGTCAGAAGTGGAGATGTGGTGAACTGGTAGAGTACCAGCTTTGAGTCAAAAAGCTATATGAGAACCGAGGCCCTGAATTTAAACCCCAGAACCTATATACATACATACATATTTGTACATACATACATATTCATGCATACACACACATCAGAGGGATTTTCCTGAAATGCCACCCATCATGTCACTAAGCTGATTTAATACCTTGAGGTATCTCAACACTCAACACTCCATGGATAAAAGCTAAATGTCCAGACACAGCTTATTAAACTAAAACCTCTCCAAGTCCCCCCGCCCCACTCTCTGTCATCTCCAAATTGCCCTCAAGTTGTAGCTATGGCTCCTATCTAAATAGGCCAGGCTCTATCTCAGTCCTAGGGCTTTGCACAGGATCTTCTTTATCTTGGAAAGACACTTTCCCTAGATTTAGCCCAAGGGACTAGTTAATAGAACAAACAAAAACACCCTATCTAGGGGCAGTGTAGGCCTCTGTTGCTCTTCCGGAACTCACTTAGGGAGTGTCGGTCACTATACCGGACAACTTGTGATTCCGCAAAGGAACTCGTGATGGAGAAGATGATGGCCCAGAGCAGAGCAATGACTGCTACACCTTAGGACCCACCACTCAGCTCTATGCTAGCGAGACTTGGTCCTAAAGGAGCCATGGGAACAAAAAAGCAGGGAACGCTGCTCTGCTGGTGGGACCAGAAATGGGCACCACTCTTTCCAAATGAGAAGAGTTAATGAGTGATATATTAAGTTGCGTGTTATTCCTGACTTCTCTTCACTACATTTCTTTTATTGTTGTTGCTTTTTTCTTCTTAATCTTTACATAGTTGCACAAAGGAGTTGTCCGTTTAACAAAACCATTTATGAATAGAATATATCTTGATCAATGTCACAATTTCTAGTTTAATTACTTTCTGGTTTTGATTTTCTATTATGACGCTATGACAGGATTTCTCAAAATATCAGCATATTGTAATTGTTTCAAGCTTACTCTTTATAGAAATTTGTTCTTGAACTAAAATAGAATTTCTTCCATGATTTGAATAAGCATGCCCCAAAGGCCTTTGTGTTAAAGGCTTGGTGCCCAACATTCATAACACTTCTGGGAGGTGTTGGAACTTCCATGAGGTTAGGTTGTTAGGAATGGGATTTTGAGGCCCTGGCCACTTCCTGCCAGGAGGTTAGCA